ATGGCCGCGGATCACGTGTCAGGGGTGGAAAATGGCTGCGGACCACGGGTCAGGGGCGGAAAAATGGCCGCGGATCACGTGTCAGGGGTGGAAAATGGCTGCGGACCACGGGTCAGGGGCGGAAAAATGGCCGCGGACCATGTGTCAGGGGCGGGAAAATGGCCACGGACGTGTCAGGGGCGGGAAAATGGCCGCGGACCGTGTCACGGGAGGGAAAATGGCCACGTATCCTGTTCGTACCCCGAGGCGGAGTTCGCAAACCGAAGCAAAATTTTGCGGCCGGAGCTGGTAGTAACCCGAAAAGTTCGTTAACAGAAGCGTTCGTAACCCGAGGTTCACTGTATATGGTTAATGTCCCTGTTGATGTGGTTATTTCCTAAACTATCTCCTGTAATATCTAGTTCATATGTTTTCTTTCTTTCTTTCTTTCTTTCTTTCTTTCTTTCTTTCTTTCTTTCTTTTCTTTTCTTTCTTTCTCTCTCTCTTTCCTTCCTTCCTTCCTTCTCTCTCTCTTCCTTCCCTTCCCTTTCTTTCCTTCCTTTCTCCCTCTCTCTCTCCTTCCTCCCTCCCCTCCCCTCCCGTTCTTGTATGCTTTATATGCTCAAAGCTGAGACGATATTAGTATAGTCAGAGAAGATTCTATTCTAGATTCCATAATCTTCTAAGACTCACTGGGACAGAATGTGATAGAAGCACCCCTAGCCTGAAAAACTTATAAAAAGGTAAGACTTTAGAGTCCCTTTCCCTGTTTTGTGATATCTCATAAAAGCCATCTTAGTCTGCCTGTTTTTTTAATGGCATGTCTGTCTCCCCTGCCCAGAATGCATGGTAAGAGACTACTATAATAGCTAAAGTCTTGGTAGATTTTTCTCTCCAAAATATTTGAAATATAGTTTCATTCTTTATATTAGCAACATTTATTTAGTATTAGATTCTTTGAAATCTTCATCTTGCCCTTCAGGGGTAGAAACCTTAGCAAAGGGATTAGAGTTAGAAGTTTTTTTCCCCCAGTTGGTGAATATATCTACGTTCCTATTTATCAGAACTGCATATAATTCCGGTCCCCATTAACTTCCCATGTAGCAGAATGCATCTGATAGCAAAAGCATATCCACATTTATCGTAAGGAAGGCTCTCTATAGAACAGCGCTCCAGAAATGGGACATCACACTTAAGGTGAAATAATAAAATCCCAGCTTCTTTAGGTAGACAACTGACTTACCTTATACTGGCTTGGCTATTCTTATGCTTTCTTTACATTCATGTGCCTTTATTATTGTTAAACAGAAATGGCTTCCAATAGGTATTGGAGTAGCACATATTCTTTTTCTTAACAGATTTCATTCCATATTACCTTGCCATTCTTTTGACTGGGAAGAGAGCAAGCCTGGGGCTAACAATAGCTTACACTGCTCTCTAAACCTTGTGTCATTTGGTTTATAGGCTGCATTAAGCTATAACATTGTCTGATTCATTATGGCTTTATATCTTGTATGAACCTAGCCACTATGATTTATAAATTAAGGGCCTGGCATAATGTATGAACCCAACATACTGTGGTTATTCAATAAACTACACAAACCTCAATGGGTGAACCCTGCCAGTTACTCCCTTACTTGATCCTGTCCTCCTCATTCTCACCCCAAGATTTTTGTAGTGATGGAGGTTGCCTGGGGTTGTCTGAAACACCAGCTAAGATAGCAAGACCTTGCTTCTGATCCCGCCACATTATTTTTGCCTCAGCCAGGTTGTGCTACAACCACAGGAGTCCACATGGCAAGACTCTCCCCTGAAATACTAAAAGGGAGGGAGGGAGGGAGGGGGGGGAGAGAGATCTGTCTGTCTGAGAGATCTGTCTGTCTGTCTGTCTGTCTGTCTGTCTGTCTGTCTGTCTATCTATCTGGGTCATTTAATCCAAATGTCAGGCAAAAACTCCATCATAAGTAACCAATTAACCTCAATTTTCAAAACATGTTTTGCAGCTCAAAAGTAAGTTTTGCAGCCGGCCTAATAATTCATCTGTGTTGACTAGACAATTTAGTGGCAAGGACACTCAGATAATGGCCATATGCAATGCCTATTCCCGTTCCATGAGCATTTTCCAGAAAGAAGAGAGAACATCCTTCCCATCTTGCTACCATTTCAATTTGGTATATGTCACCAAAAACTAAATGCACTTCTGCCCTACCCCAAATACATGCAGAACACAGAAGTTAATTTTGGTATACTGGTCTTCAGGAAGACCTGCACGGAGGGAAGGAAAATCTGGGAATGACCTTTCCATCCACTGTAAACTGGAAACTTATATTAAAAATGCAATAAACCAAACAGAGCATCGATTGATTATCCATTACTGACAGGCAGGAGGAGAAGGCAACGTGAATTTTGCACAAACATGTTAATAATACATAAAAATTCATAACTGAGAACTGGTCCTGAGTCCATTGTATCTGATACTGCAGGCAGGACTGGGGGGAGGGGTTATGAAAAAGAGAGCCCTAGCTTCCCTCTCATGCTAAAGACTGCTAGAGGGACTGCAAGTTTCCCTCAAGTTCCAGAACTTTAGCAATTGATGAAGAACAGAGAATCACAATAAATATCCACATCAATATACCATTTATCACACTATAAGCACTTTAAGTCTTCCCCACTGCCTTTGCTACCACATTTGCTACCATCCAACAAATTGCTTTTGAATGAAAGCTGAAGTTCTATGATAGACTTCTAGGATATGATTTCAAGTTTTAAGAAAACCAAGCCCTTTATGAGAGCTAGAAAGGGACAGGTACAAACATTAATCAAGAGTTTGTGCTACAGTATTTATTGTGCAAACCTGGTTGCAAAGGCCTTCCTGCTAGCTCTCCCCTAAATCTCTTCCTTTCCTAAGTTTCATACACTGACAGCTTTCCACAGAGTGGTTACTTTCAACTACATCACTTGCAACAGTGCGTGCGCGCTCTCTCTCTCTCTCCCCCTCCCTCCCAGCTCTCTCGGAGTAAAGCATTTACCTTGTTTGACTTCACCAATCACAACTCAGGTTAGCAGAGCTGGAAACTTCTCCCACCACCAATATTCCTCCATTGCCCCAGAAACATCACTCCCCAAAGCAAAAAGGTACTCAATGGAATTCGCACCACCACAAGGGCAGCAACTTTAAATTTTAAAGGAATTATGCTCCTAAATATAGTAACTGTTGCAACAGACTAACATCCTAGAAAACATTATGACATGGCTTCAGAGGAGAAAACATTTCATATTAATAACCTTGTATCAAATGTCCCAGAGAAGACAGTCATAGATTACAGTAAATAAATAAATATATCTGCCCTAAGACATTCCATCATCTCCCCATCCTGGTGTCATCAGGAGAAACAGAATCTCCACATTCAGTAGAGTTTCCTACACATGGTCTCAATTCTTCAATCTAGACTTCTCCTTTACAAGCCAGAACGTGTCTTCAGTCGAGGGTTTGAACGCTAAAGACGTGCATATAGGCTTCAAAAGCTGTCCATAGTTGAGTGCCTTCTGTGGTCATCACAATTTGAAATTATGGAAAATAAAAGATCAAGAACTATTTCCTACAATAGCAGGACAAAAATACAAATTTAAGCAATATTTCCATTAAAACTAAAAACCACCAAATAAGAGCAGGCTTTTGAATTTCTCAAGGATAAGTAATCAGACTTGATAGTAAAAAAAAAAAAAAGCAGGTAGACATCTGTTGACTGGACAATAAAATAGTCAAATCATTTTAAAAAGCAATAATGGACAAGCAAGAGAGGAAGGAAAATGGTTAGATGTTAAAGCCATGAAGATGGCAGCCATAGTCCTAAGATTGGAGACTTAGAAGAATCAGACTCAGCTAGATGACAGGTTCTTAGGACTACCTTTCAGACTGCTGAAAGAGTTTGCCTTCCATTTTGGAGGATATATTACCAGTTATTAGTAATATCTGTCCTTATTCCCCCTAAAATAAGTTATCACTCACACCCAGCTGACAAAACAGCAGCTTTTGTACCTTCTGTTTCCATTTTTGCCTCAGCACACCTCCATTTCAACTTCGCAGCTAACTTTTCCCAACTTTTTATCATTGCTCTTAGGAGGAGCCTCCCAAAAACACAAGACAACTCAACCCCAGACAGGTCAACCAGCTGCCCTGAAAACGTGCATTCCCACCAACCTTCCATGTGCAAGCAGCAATGTGAGTGCGGCTGACCTGTCAGAGACACAATCTGCCCTCCGGCTGTAGCTGGAAATCGGAAGACTGTCTGTTGTGCCTGCTGCAGCTGTCCAGGTATGCCTACAACCGCTGCCTGGCCCTGCTGGCTGGAGAGGGCCAGCGAGTGCGGCTGTAACTGAGTGAGAGGAATGGTAGGGGTCCCGGGAGGGAGTGGAGCACCTGCTGGAAGGAGGGAGAAAAAAAGGCTTTTTATCAGGGCCAGCTGCTTTTACATCTCCTTCATTCCCTCTTAGTTTTTTTGTTAATCTCTCCTCCCAGGTTATCATATGCAGCCTTCTAGTTATGTTGTGACTGTGAGTTCCAGAATTCCGAGTTAACACTGAATTCTGGAAGATGGAACTCCAAACATCTAAGGAGTGTCCGGTTGAGGGAGGCTGCCATACATCTTTCATGGGAGGAAGAGGAGGGAAGGCGCTGACCAAGCTCCATGTCCCAGTTCCAAACCCTACAATTCTCACAATCAGAAATGTCACAGTGGAACTTTCCATTTCCCCAAAGGAATGAGGAGGCTGGCAGCAGAGACAGCAACACTACAGTTTCCTTAAAACTTCCTGTTCTCCTGGCAGAACCTGCCCCTTGACTAGTCTTTATCCTAGCCTCAGACACACTCCTTTCTGAAACTATGATATTCAAGAGAATGCAGTTTTGGCATTCCCATTCCAGCCTCTCACAACCCAAAGGAGGGCTGAGGCCTACTGTGTTCAGCGTAACTGCAGAAGAATCAGCATGTATTGCAAAAGTTGGCAAAAGAGAAACTGACCTGACATGAGGGTAAAGCCGGTAGGTATCTGCATTAGTCCTCCAGAGGCCACTGCGCTGGTTCCAGTGGTTTTCAGCACTGTCCCGTTGGCACTGGTGACTGCATTGGGGCTGACACTGGCGGAGACTGGTGCTAAGTAGTTAGTAATGGGGAACGAGGGCCCACTGCTGACCTGCATGGATGTGGATGTCGTGGGTGCTGTCTGGATGGTGGACGTTGTCCCTGGGAGGTTGGTGACAGTGAATGCTGGCTTCAGTGAGTCCTGCAAAAAGAAGGGCAAGTAGGAAGAGCCAAGCCCAAACTGAGCACACTGCCCAGAGCCAAATACAGCCTAACCCTTTCCCCTCCTCACTATCTGGCAGATCCACATCTAAAGTAAAAGGTAAGATGTATATGTCAATAAGCTCTCAAAACCGAAGGAGTGGACACCATGCTCCTCCACACATGGTTGAATTCAATTCCCATCACCTCTGACCACTGCCGTGCTATTGGCATAGAAGTGTTTTTCAAACTTGGCATCTTTAAGATGTATGGACTTCAACTCCCAGAATTCCCCAGCCAGCCATAAGAGAACTCCCTGTGACTGAAAAGTAATTCAAAACATTACTAATAGCAGTTGAATATTTCAGTGCCAGGATTAGCAGGGAAACAGGCAGTTAGCCCTTCAGTTTCATATCCTGGAAAAAGAGATTCAAACACCTCACAAAGTCCCTATCCTAATGAATTCACTCATAAATAAGGGCAGGAGTTGTACTGATTCATTTTCCAAGAGCCAGGATCCTAACCTCTTATTCTTTGACATTAAGCCAGATTAATGAAATTCCACATCCCTGGCCATGCTCTGCTATTACGGACTTGACAGATTGAGACGGTATCCAAAAAACAACTGGAGGATCACCATTCTCTCTTCTCCCCATTCTAAACCAAGAGTACTCATTCTCCCTTAATATCTCACAATGGTTGAGTCCCATCAGCAGCCTAAGTAACTTGCAAAACACTTTCTTGTAGAGGCAGCAAAAGGCCTAAGCAACAGAGACTTGTTCAGTCAGTTTCAGGCAGGCCCAAGTTATGCTAAATCTGAGACCCAATGGCTGGTGAGGTGGCAGCAAGGACCTTGACCAGGATTTTTTCTTCCCCCTTAACATCTCATTGGAACTTACTTCCTATAACTTTAGTCCATGATTCCATGTCCTGTCTTCTAGAAACAATGTAGATTGTAGCCTTCTATATGACACCGTTTCAGATAACTGGCAACTGTTCTCACATCCCTTGAGTCTTTTTTTCTCAAGGCTAACATACCCATTCCTCTCAATCTCTTGTCAAATAATCTTATTTCTGGTCTTTTGTTAATATTTGTTGCCCTTAATCCTTTTCAGGATGTCTTAATCCTTTTTAAATTATGGTATCCAGAACCTGATATAGCAGTCAAGTCAAGATCTACCCGGTACAGGTCTCTTTTAGATGATGCAATCCTTTCACTTTGGTTCTCAATGTCTTGACCTAATCCCTTCAGAGTCTTACAGTATTCTGCTACTAAAATCATTCACGCAACCCTGGTCACATAATACCCATTCCTTAAATCCCTACACTAGCTTCCTGTTTGCTCCAGAAACTAGTACAAAGTCCCTGTTCGTACCTCTCTGCACTTACATCTCCAAATATCCTGTCCATGATCATTTCTTCTCCACACTATCCCTCTCCATAGGTTTCTGGTTCCCCCTCCCCCAAGCCCTGTCTTTTGCTGCCCTACATGCTTGGAATTGCCTCTCAGGGTCTCCTTTATTTCCTTTCAGTTCTCCTTCAAGCTATTTCTCAGAAAATCCAGAGAACAATCTTCTGCTTCCCCATGCTATTCCCCATACTATAAGTTCCCCACGCCATACTATAAAAGGTGCAGTTTGAAAGCAAACGTGCTTAATTTTCCATTTTCCTCCTGTCCTTACTCTTCTTTTTCTGTTTGCCAAATATTACCTTGCAAGCAACATTTTTTTCCCATCCCCATATTTCAACATTTTACTTCTAATTTACTTGCTCAGCTTCTATATGATATTCACATTTTCAAACCTTGAAAACCTTGAGATTTTCATGGACAATTTTGGTGTCTCCAATGATTTGGGTTACTCCACTTCTAAGATTAGCAACAAATCTGTTTTCTGTAGAACCAAAGCTTGGTCTTCAAATGTTCTTGTTTATTTATTTGATTATATATCATTAATTCATGTTGATCAATAGGTAAATGTATAAACTGAATGTAAAGAAATTAAAAGGACGTTGTTTTTTGCCATCAGTGCCATTCCATATGAATCTAATAAGACTAGACCTTGTAACAATATGAAAAAATGCATCTCAATGCACATAATGCCATTCACCTTCATTATATAAGATTATCCAGCTCTTGTTAATTAACAGGCCAAAACTTGCAATATTTCAAACTATAGAAGATTGTTTATACTCACTATCTTGATATGACACCAGCAGCTTTCCTGGAAGAGACTTTTGGAGAATAATTTGAACAGGTTATCTCTCCTTGTATGCAGAGAAAGTTTTTGTTTTTGTTTTGTAATAGTACTGAGATATCCATTTTATCATCTCATTGGGGGGGGGTGTTGTTCTGCTACAAATAGTTTATCACTTACTATAACTACATTTTGTCTAGAAGCAAGGAAGCGTGTATCTAATTCAGCATAACTTTGGTTCTCTGCTAATTAATGTTTAATCTAAGTTTGTAAGCTTCTGTTAATTTGATTGGTAAATTTCACTGAGAAGCTTTTTGTGACCAGATCCATAAATTGAACTGACTGTAAATTCCCATTGTAAGTTCCAGGCTATAAAGCATCGTGCATAGTGATGGCACTATACAAATGTGTAACGCTAGGGAATGGGCATTTTTACTTATAAATTTCAATTCTAAGAAATGGCCTTCCCAGAGATGCCCGCCAGGTTTAGGCAGCATGACATCCGGATTACACATCCCATGAAGCCATAATGCAATGCTGACTTAGCATATCATGTGATCCCAGCCACTGTGCCTATGATATAAGGCTTGGTATTTATGCACGAACTCAGCAAACTGTAACATATTCAACAAACGATGCTTAAGCAAACCATGACTTAGCGTAACATATGAACCATGTTATTGTGGTTTTAAGATGCTAGGTCACATCCTAGGTCTTCCAAGGATTTGGAGAGCAACTCTTAAGGGGGATAGAGAGAGGCCACTTGGGGACAATTTCTTCAACAGCCTTCTGGAAACTCTCTGGATCCATTGGGTGCTTGAGATGGATCCTCTAAACAGGTCCCATCCAATGAAATCCTGGGGAGCAATTAACCTTAGTTGGATTAGGAAGTGATCTGACCATAATAAAAGGGTAGATGTAATGGCCTCCATATTTAGATGAACAGAGATCTAGCATATGACCACCTGCATGTGTTGGGCTAGAGAGCACTTGGGACAAGCCATCGTTATCACAGAGATAGTGAACTCTATGGCTTTCCCAGACCTATAATGAAGTAATGAAATCATCCAATCCCCAAAACTATGGTAACTCCAGATCAAGGAAGCCAGAGAGGGAGCCAACTGGGCAGCACAACAGTCAATACACCAGAAGGGTATCCAGCATGCCTCTACAGTCCAACTTAATATGCATGCATTCAGATCAGGTCACATCCTACTAGGGTCTTGATGGTCTCAGTGCCCTCTTCCAACTCTGTGATTCTAAAGAGAGGTTAGAAATGTAATTAAACATATAATTTTGAAAAGTAGGGACTGCCAAGCTATTGTCCATATGGCCAAAATGGACCACTGGAAGGGAAGTGATATTTCTACACAGCAAAGGCTGGGCAAGAGGCCCAGTGCACCAGTGTTTTCTTTGTACTTAAAATGCATTAACATAAGCTTCCCCCTCTCTGCGTGTTTGATTGCCTAGAGTTCTGGATTCAAATTAGACTTGCAACCACCTTATAACAACATTCCCAAGAGAAGTATCTGACAAGTCCCCATATGAGTGAAAAATAACCATCTACTTACATGAGAAAGATAAAGGGCTAATTCTGAACGGAGGCCAGTTCTGTTCTTCGGGACAAAGTTCCACTGGGAATCAAGCATATTTCATTTGCATAGTCCTATCCTAGTTTAATCTCTTGATAAAAAGTTATGTTTTGTCACTGTTTGCTTTTTTAAAAGAATATACATATAGTAATCAATTTTTTAAAGGACTATTTAACTGGAGAAAATGCTACCTTCTGGGACTGGTATGGCTATTTCTGTTTGAACTCTATAGTCTGCAATATCTTACGCATCCAGAAAGGGTTAATGTCTTTATGTTGTCAGTGTTCTTGCTGCGCCCACCCCCACCCCGCAACCAGCACTACTATGTGGATCCAGCCAGCAGGCACTCCCATGTGCTTCTCCAGGCTCCTGACCTGACACACTGCCAAAAACAAGGAATTCACAGCTCAACTAACATCTAAAAAAGGAAAGGCAGACAACAAATCCAGAACACCCTTCCTGCTGTATGGAGGTGGGGGGAATAGGGGAGAAGAGAAGGGGAGAGCCAGCTAGCAATTGTCTACCCCTCCCTCCTCTCCAGCCCTGGCACCAAGAACTGTGTAGATGGAATTAGGATGAGCATGTGATAATGGTGCATAGTTGAGCAAATTAACTTTCCATTATCTCAGCTGCAGCCTCCTTCTCATTGCAGAGGACAGACCTATTGTTAAGGACAAAGCCAGACCAGCCACATGACCAGGCCCCTTACTTTCCTAACTTCAGGGGTCACAGGACTTCTCCTAGCCCTAGGCAGGACACAGCTAGCCTGGATCTGACAACAGGTCCACTGGACCTGGAGAGCCAATGGATCAGACCAAGTATGGCATAGTAAGCTTTATTTTCTTAGCGCTAGAAAATGGTGTCCCTTCCAAAGAAGAGAGACCCTGAACAAGCCAAAATACACAGTATATATACAGATTTCCACCAATCTGGGGGAGCTGGGCAGCATATAAAATAAACAAACAAGCAAGCAAGCAAGCAAGCAAGCTTTGGACACATAGTTGTCCTCTCTGTCCCCTCCTCCATCCTGCCATGTCTGTCTATTATTCTCATGAGCAGTTTTCCAATCATCAGCACCTTATCAGTGATTGAACTATCAGCAATTGAACTTCCTCTTTAACTGAATAGGCTAAAGATCAAGCATAGATACAATATGACAGCTGTCTTGTTCTTTACATTCTATTCACCCCTTACAAACACACACACACACACAC